TTCTGTTTGGACAGAACAGTGCACAACTCGAAATTCCCAAAATATCTGGATATTTGTTGGGGGCATATCCGGATATCCATATACGGATATTACAAACCCCATATCCGGATATCATATCCAGATATTTCGCGACAGAATGCAGTTTTGCATGTCGTGAAGATATCCCTCCAAGACATCATTTTTAAGGGTTCCAGACGTTCAATCATGTGTTTTTAGGTGTGTTATACCTTACCAACCCTTAAGTTATCAAGTTCCACTTATTACATGCATCAAGGTTCATTCTTTCAATAGAAACTCAAGAGCAAAGGTGGTGGTGCTTACCCAAAAGCTCAAAACAAAGAACAGGCAGTGGCTTGAAGCTTCTTGTGCCACTATATAGTACTGCTACCAAGAGACCATGAAAATGGTTCATAAGATTGGTTCTTTATTACACAAAATGGCTTCTTGCACCATCACACATCAAGGAAATGGCTCACACCTCAACACTCAAGAAGTCAGCCCTCACACACTCTAAACAGAGGCTGCACACAACTCAGAATGTGGTGCTCTACTACCTCCCAAGGTTTGCTCACAACATCTATGGTGATTAAATGGAGAAACTTGGAGAAAAGGTGATCACTTGAGCTCACAAGATGAAGAGAGGAAGGTGACAAGTTGGGGGACACCAAGTTTCAGAAATGGAGGCATGTGGGAATAGGAAATTCTGACCTAGAATCTTGTACCCTCTTATATATATATATATATATATAATCTCATTAAGTTTAACTTCACTGTATTAGCACTAATAGCTCCGCTAATCATTTTAACTTATAACTTCAGATTCTGAACCTAGCCATTTTTCTAGGATTTCTCATATTTTTATTATAATTTTCGCAGCACTTTGCCGGTACGCGTTTTATACGCAGTCGGTATTAGTTTTGACATCATTTCTCATTATTTCGACTCCAAATTTGATATACCAGTCCTAAATATTATTCTAGGAATATTCATATACTTATTATAATTTTTCGAGATACTTCACCGGTACGCACTTATACCATGAAGCAGAACCGGTATCTGCACTTTTCATCAGAAAAGCGGCTTTAAGCATTATAAAGCCCTTATATTTATTATTTAAGTCTTCACATAATTATTCAAAGTCAATTATGGACTTATTCCTTAAACTCAATATTAAATTATTCAAATTCCTAATTTAACAGTGCGGGTTCTTACATTTAACGTGAGAAAACCTTCTCCAATGTGAAGAAGTAAAAACCCTTGAGACGATAGTCCAAAATAAAACTTCAACTATGTAGATAATGGGTTACAAACTTCACAAACAAATTATGGTACACTCAAACCTCACCTACAATAATGGTATTCTCTCAAATTTTCCTATGACGGTCTAACGCTCAAGCTTCTCCTTAGAAGTTCTCTAAAAATTGTCTAACCCTAATCTCTCACATAACACAAGCTTATATAGGAGAGGAGAAAATTTTCTAGAATGTCAAAAGTGGGACCTAAGGTTTCTTGAGCCCACAATCGTAACATTGAGCCTTGTGCAACGTTGAAAAGGAAAAGCCCAACAGTTTGTTTTGGACTAGCTTTCACATTTTAATATATACGGATTGGTTTGCGAAGGCACATAAGGGGTCACACCCGTACTTTTCCATACTGAGCATATAAATCTCAATGCAGAGAATCCTTCACTCCCAAGACATCTCACCACTTACATATAGTGATGCACATTCTCATTGACAATAATGAGATAATGGCTAATACAATTGGACTCTCACTCTATCACATAGCATGAGAGAATAATTCCTACTTATATATATTCCTCTTCCTCATTTAAAGAGACATCTTTCATTCATCACTTGTTGCTCTGCCGAATTCTAGAATCACAGCCCTTACACATTCCCCTCTCTACCAGCCATATCTGAGATAGTACTCGCCGATACTTTTTTAGAGCTTTGATCCATGCCTCTGCCTTGTGGAGCACCTATATAGCTAGGTACTTCACCCTGAAAAAATAGAGTTAGCTCTTATTCCACGACAGCTCACTATTAAATGAATAGTTAACTCTCTACACAGGAATAAGAAAATTTGTAAAATGCATATTTTAGCCAAATGCAATTTCTTATTTGAAAAATATAAACAAGATATATCCCACTCGAGATCATCGTTATGTTCGATACTTGGGGAAGAAAATAAGGACTTGTGGTCGAGCAGTTCAAATAAGTACCACTTAAAACATGTGTTCAACTTTGTCTTTTTTTTTATTTTTTTTTTATTTCATAATTTAAGTAAGTTATAATTTAAATCTAAATATTTTTTTAATTAATTTTTTCTTAATATTCAACATAAACAAATGATGCATTAATTTTTTTTTATCTTAAAAAAACAAGGTTTTAGCCTAAACGTTATTTAAAATGTATAAGCTGTTCATTTAATTTAACACGGTAACATTATTCATTTCGCAGATTTACGGAAGAAAAAAGTTAGATTATATGCTTTGTATGACATATTTCGATTTATAAATCAAAATTTAGATAGAAGAAAAACAATCACAAAGTAGATTAGTGAACCATATGGAGAATATTTAAACTTTATCCAAAATTTTATGATGGACGAAGATTATTTCAAATTCGAACGAGATATTTTCCTTTTCGAGAGTATTCAAAAATCCACATTTCAAAAAAATGCCATTTTAAACATACAAAAATAATGTACGTACATTAACCAAAAAACACAATAAAAAAAGCAAAATGTAAGCAGTCTAAGCTATCAATGGTTCAAATCCAATTACATTTAAAAATATATTATATATGATCATCTGTAATCACACCATTAGTTCAGTTTCAGAGATGAGATCCAATTTCCCAAACTATCACCAACCTTTGCCATGCACTCCTTACCAGGTTTCAGAGTGATGGATAGATTTTTGGAGGCTCTTGAAACTGATAGCAAACACAGTGTTGCTACAAGTCCTTTCCATATGCATGCATCATCCAAGCATATGGTAATCCTCTCTATCATTCTACAATTCGTTATCAAGTACTTAAAAAATTCCATGTCAAGCCCTTTTCCTTTATATCCAGTTATATAAACTGTCTTCAATTTGTAGCTGACACACACTAAACAGTGCCCTCTCCCAAAACATGGTATTGGGATATGTCAGATGACCATCTTGAAAGAGATTGCAAGTCCCAGAAGATTTTTCAGAACCAATATTATCTAATTCGAAATTTTCTATAACCTGTTGCACGAAACCAACAAGTTTGGAAAGTAATATGTAAGAAGGTAATCTATTTCAAAGTATATAATAGTAAAGAGGGAATGAGAAACAAGAAGACCAAAATCAAGTAACGTAAGCATGGCTGAATGAATAGTATTATATTTATTAGTAGACATACCTTGTTATTAATTTTAAGATTCTGCAAACAAAGGCATGACCCGAGGACGAAACAAAGAGGTATAGCATCTCCAATAGTGTTCAAATTTATATCGACGCAGAGAGTCACCAAATTCTTAAATATATTGGCATGGCCGTAAGCTCCATGAATCGGAGACATAAAGTAAAATATATAAAAGGAAATAGAGGGAAATCTTATGCGCTTAACATAGATATTTGAACTTTGAGCCAAAAACAAGGGACTCGGCTTCGAAAGGAAAGTCATTGAATAAATTCATGCATACATACATACACTGTTTCATAAAAACGAAAGTCAATTCAAAAAGAAAGAAGAAGTACTTACCAAGAGACCACTGCAAATTTCCATAATTTCTCTTCATGTCAAAACAATTCTTCGTAACCCCAAAGTATGCACCCCTTCATAGTCTAAATCACAACGAGATCGAAAAACCTTAAGATTTGGGGTGTCAATAACCAGCCCTATTGGTTTATAGATCATTGTATCAAGCTCTATAATACTAAGGTTCTAAGCACATACATCAATCTTGCTTATCACCATCCCTGAAAGCTCTAAAAGTTTAATACTTTGACTATGAATCTTAAGTCCTTTATCCATCTTACACCCAATGATGCTTAGCTTCTCTAAAGACAAACAATTAGAGAGAATCCCTTCAAGGATTTCTTCGGTTAACAATACAAATGTGAATTCGAGGGTTGTCAGATTTTGTGAACCTTTATACGGGGGTGAAGTCTTTAAGCACATAGGGCAAAAATATCATTTGAAAAGGCAAAAATAAAGTCGAAACATTTTGTCTCACCAAAGGGCATATATATATATATTGTTCCAAGATTCTAAATATTCACACTCCATGCAAAGCACTTTCACATTCTTCTCCTTTAAGAGTTTCACTATCCAAGATCATGCATGCCCATTTTGGCAGCTCTCAATCAAGTGCAGAATTTTGCAACTATCTAAGCGACTAACGTGTTTATGCAACACTGATTTGATTATATATATTTGCTTCATCATCAATGGCAGCACGCAAAGTTGGATCCGAAAAATGAAGAGAAGTTTGTACTTGGGATGGTAGGGGTGATGAGAATTAAACCCGGGATACCGAGATTCTGTACCATAAAAAGAACCAATTCAACCAAAAAGTTTAAACTTTTGTATTGAATTGATTTTTTACATTGGGGTTGATCGTAAGCTTGTGATGGAAATTGAGGTTAGGTGTGCTCTTCCATCGTTAGTATCAATGTTTGCATCTCTACTTCTTCTATTTTGATTCACGGAGAGTAATAAGAAAACTTAAAAGGTAAGGGTAACATCACACGAATAGCTCATGTAGCTTTGTCCTTATGTCCGTTGTCAAATTAAACGGATGTTCATCACATTTTTCGTAAAGCATAACCCCGGCTTTTCTGTTTCTCTCTCTCTCTCTCTCTTGTCATGCATTACTCTGAATCATAGATACAGCATCACTCACGCAGTTACATTTTGTCCTTTTTTGATTGTTTAGAGTTAAAATAATTATGATAAATAGCCCTCTTTTCCATTCTCATTTCACTCTTTCATTTCCTCTCTCACATAAGTTCCTTTCCCAACATGTCTACTCCACAGGTGAAGAGCACTGTCCACATCATTCGCAACAAGCACGTCATACCAGCGGAATTTAAGCGTCCATTCCCGAAGATGTTGAGGATAACTTTCACGGACAACGATGCTACCGACTCCTCCAGCGACGAAGAACAACCTTTCAACTCTTCAATGCGCCGCCAACGACAAAAGAAGTACGTGGGGGAGATTATTTTCGAGAGGCGCAAAGCCAAAAAGAGAAACTCTGGCACCACCGGCAAAGGCAAAGCTCCGGCGAGTCAGCAAGCATCCTCCTCCTCCGGTAAGAAATACCGTGGAGTGAGGCAGAGACAATGGGGAAAATGGGTTGCTGAGATAAGAGACCCATCAAGACGCAAACGGTTGTGGTTGGGAACACATGACACAGCTGAGGAAGCTGCCAAGGCCTACAACCAAGCCGCCATTAAGCTGCGCGGACCTGATGCACTCATCAATATCATTGAGACACCAACCGCGGAGGTGCAGAGCTCGCCGGAGAAAACAAACCCGCCAGAGGTGGAAACTTCCATGGCTACAATGGACGGTTAAACACACCGCCTGGAGAATTTGCTGTCATGTGTCGTGTAGTAGAACGTTTGAGTGTTTGCGCAGCAACTATGTAAGATAACTTAAGAATGCGCTGCATGCACAATCGCCTGAATGTGTTTTTAAAATTGAAGACTTTTATTTTGCAGTTATTTGACAAATCTAAACTTCTAAAAAGTCCTTTATCAAATCAGTGGCGAAGTTAGTTTCAAGATCTTTAAGTTGCATAAAGAGGGATGGAGAAGAACCTAAAGATTGGAATATATAGAAAAATAAAAGTAAAAGATTGTTAAAAAATTTAAAAAAATATAAGATTTTACTTTTTTAAAAAAATAAGATAAATAATAAGATATTATTTTATTGAAAAATATTAGAATATTATTTTATTAGAAAAAAATAAGATGTTATTTTACTAAAAAAAAAAAATTATTTACTTTAAAAATAAAAGCTGAAAATTTTTCACTCAAAAAAACATATAAATAAATGTTCGATAACAAAGAAAATGTATCGGGTAATTCAATACGAAATAAGAAACGGGACCTGAAAGCTTAGAGGTCAAGTCTATTAAAATAAACTCGTTGCCTAATTTTAAAATAAGCCTTTTAATGAGTTTAAACATGTATTATTTTTTAAAATGGGTCATGTCAAGTTGGGCTAAAGACAGGCTAAGCTACGAGCCTTTAGCAAGATCTTCTGACCCATTACACCCTATGGGACATGATGTTCTTATACTGAATAATAAATCTTATATTCAATTTTAATCATTAATTTTTATAAATATAATTTATGTAATTTATTAAAAATTAATAATTAATTAATCTAGAGCAGGCTTTGATTTTCTTTATTTTATTTAATCGGATGAGACTATATTTTGGCAATCTTAATTTTTTTTTTTTTTTTTGTTAAACAAGCAATCTTAATTTTTTATTCATACACTAGCTGATTTATAGTTTTTATTTTTTTATTCATACGCTATTTGCTAGTCAATACAAGCATTAATATTTTAATTTCTTTATTCGTATAGATAAAGTAATTAATAAATATTTGAAAATAAAAAATGCAAGTAAATAATTAGGGATGCGAATGGTGTTGTCTTATTTTATCTTATCTATCACACATATACGTTAAATACATTTACATTCAAAATTTAAGAAGTGTATTTAGAATTTTCAATTATCTATTTACACACCACCCAGTTAATTAGTTATAATTACAATTTCTTAAATTGTCTTTTATTATAATATCTGAATAAATAGTAGAAAATGTAATTGAATAAATTTAATTCAACAAATTACCTAATTGAGAGTAATTCAAAAAATGGCAATTAAAAAATAACTAATAAGGTAGATGAAAGAAAAATTCGGAGTGATTAACCTATCAATTTTGGCCAAAACCAGAAAAAATACAGCCCCATGCATTTGTATGAAAATTTGTAAATAAGGAAGGTGTTAATAACATGCTACCTTTCCTCCAAGCATTGTATCTCTTATGTACTCCTTAATAAAACAATACGGTTATTTTGTAATTTAACAAACATTAGACTAGAAAGTTGCAATGTTTACAACCAAGAAATTACAACGAAAATTCAGTTTGGTCACTATTAATATAGTTTTAGAGTTGAGATCCACTTTTGAAATCCCACCTACTTTTGTAATATACTCCATACCAGGTTTGAGAGTAATTGACAATTTCATAGAGGCCTTCGGAAATGACAACAAACACAAAGTTGCAGTGGCTTGTGCCCATGAGCAATCATCAACAAACCAAATTGTGATCCTCTCCATCATTCCAGCATTAGTTATTATGTACTTAACAAATCCAGCTTCAAGTTCTTCACCTGTATATCCCCTTATGCAAAGGGTCTTCCATTGGTGATTAATACATTCACAATGCTCCCCTCTCTGCCAAAATAAATTCTTAGGGAATGACGCAATCATCTTCATTATCATTATCATTATACACCGTAATATAGTGATCCATTGAATCATTCTTCACCTGCATGCATATGTCACGAGACCCGTATAAATGCAGGGACAAATATAAAAGGAAAATTACATGCATTTCGCTAAAGTAATCATAAGTGCAGCTCATTGTTTATTTCGAGATTCTGCAAATGAGGGCAAGATCTAAGGGCATAAGAGAGAGATATGACATTTCTGACATTGTTCAAATCAAATTCAATGCTGAGAGTAACCAGATTCTCAAATACATTGACGATGCTTGAACTCTGAGGACTCTGGGAAAAAAAAAGAAAAAAGAAAAAAGAAACGCACTTAAATTGTAGAATATGTCCACAAATAATAAACTATAAAACGGAGCTATGAAGAATATGTCTACACAAAGGGTTTTAGAGAATAATATAAATCATTAAATAGGCTTTCACTTGACACTTTAAGATTTTGGGTTGAATTGGTTCTTTACGTGATATTAGAGCTTCAGTAACCACGAAGTCACGAGTTCGATTCTCACGGCCCCACTTTTTAGTGGAATTAAATAAGCACAAGGTAAACTAAAAATTGGGCCTTGTAATATCCACGCTTCAAACCAAACCCAAAGGGCTCTTGCATGAAGGAATGTGTTAAAGAATAATATAAATCATTAAAAAGACCATCATCTAACTCCTGATTTTTTGTTGAATTACTTCTTTACACAAACATCTAAATCAAACAAGTATAGAATGAGGTTTAAATTTTGGATAACATAATGTGATACCGTCACAACATCTCAATTGCAAGCAAATACACACAGCATAAACTAGACAAAACCGTAACCAATTAAAACCTTGGACTATAATCTTATTGATAGCAAAGTGATGTAACATATTCATGTAGTAACAAATTGTTATCGTTCAAATCAATTCATAATTTAGTGCAGTGGAGACTGGTGGAGAAGAAATACTCACTTGAATATCTTCTAGAATCTCCATTGAGGTCAAAAGCTTATGTCCAAGTGCAGAATAATATCTCGCTCCATATTTGAAATCATAGTAACAACGGAGAACCTTAATTTTGGAGCCTTTAAATCCAGTCTTTGATGGTTAGAAACAATGGTATGAAACTCTATGACATCAAGGTTAATTGCATAAATCACAATCTCATTCACAAGCATTCTACAAATTTTAAAAAATTTGAGACTTGGACTGTCAATCTTAACTTCTTTTCTGAAACCACATTCATCAAGGGTTAGATTTTCAAGCGATGAACAACTGGACAGAATCCTTTGCAACTCCTCTAGTGGTAAATTCACATTAATTAATGTTAGGGTTTTTAGATTTTGAGGAACATCACCATAGGGTGAAGTGTTAAGGTAATAATTCTTCAACTGAAGCACCTCAAAATCTGAAAAAATCTCCAAAGACAAATGGAGAATCGTTCCATGTACTCTCAAAGTACTTTGTCCATTTTGAAGATAAGATGCATTAAAAAGGGGTTCGCGTTACATGGAAAGCTCTCTCATCCCTTTCTGCTCCAATAGCTTCCTCATCCACCCCACAGCTTCACCACTCGCGCAACTCTCAACCATGTGTTGAATCGTGCAACTTGTTAAGGATCCAGAGTGAGCATCCAGATGGAATTGATCAACTTTGCTGCTTCGGCAATTGCATCTGCATCTCCTTCCTCTCTAGGCATTACCTTACGACGCAAAGCCGCTTTAAGACCCATGTTTGGGCTTGTAGTTTGAAGATATGATTCGATAAAAGGCCTCAACATTTGTCTCTGATCGAAGCTGAGGTGGGAAGAGTGCTTCCATACTGTTTTCCATAGCTGGGAAAGTATGCTGGTTCTCACACCTTCGGAGCAAAATGGTGGGAGCAACGAGGGAGAAAAATGAAAATAACTGGACATGAAAATAGGAGGGAGAGGGAGTGGCACAAGAGAAAAGATGAAGCTTTGGTCAAAACAAAAAGAAAAAAACTGAATAGAAATAGGTGCGAGGGATATTGGATATGGATGAAGTAACGAACTCCAGCTTGAGGAGAATATCTTGGTTTTATTGTGATTTGAATTTGAATAGATAGGTGGATAGAGATACTGTGAGTTGCATTTCATGTCTTAGTTTTACATTTCATGTCTTGCTTTTACATTGATGATCTTGTATGAAAATAAATATAAAGTAGGACTATAATAAATTAAAATTTATTTCTAGCGAATAAAAAGTGTGATTGAAAATTCCAATGTTCCACTAATATTATATTTCAATTGACATTTAATTCAGCACAATAAAATTATAATATCAAAAATGATTACAAATATTGAATGTTTAAGATCTGATTGTAAGAGATTATAAGCGAAAAATATTATAAATATAACTCCCTCTCTATACACACATTGCACACACACATATAGGTATTAATATTTCTCATATTGTAGGAGATAATTTTATCTTTTACACACATATAAAAATATAGGTTCATATTTCTTTCTTTCTCTTCTCTTCACATGGCCCTACATGAGCCACACACATTTTTATGTGTGTATGAGATAAAATTATCTCATATAATATGAGAAACATCAATCACATATATATAGGAGAAATCTTTTGACTCCACTGTAAAACTTAAAAATCTTACTCTTCATCTTAACTGTTGATTTATGTCCTCTTTTTTAATCATGGAATTCAATAACAATTTAATTTTTTAAAATATTATTAAATTAATATGTATATAAAACTAGGTATGTAATTAAATAAAATTTAATTTTAATAAAAAATATTTTATTGAAATTTTTTCAAATATATAATGAAAACAACTATTAAAAATCACAAATAAGTAATTAGATATTTTAATATTCCTGAATAATACAAACTTGAATCAATAAATGAAAAGAAATGAAGATATTTGAATTAATATGCTTATAATGCAATAAATTTGTTGGCAGTGCTCTTAATTATTTAAGCAATTCATAATGATCTTTAATTGTAGATATTATTAATTATCTTCAATTGTTATAAATACGTACATTGAAATATAATGAATTAAACTTAACTTGAATAAAATTTACTCT